AACTCAATTATTTAATTGCGTGTAAGCGAGTTCCATACGAGGATGAAATGAAGTGTGAATTTAGATCAATTTCGAAAAACACACTTAAAGCAGCATACACAAATGCAAATTTAACCCCCCAAACGTTAAACCTGGTCCGGCACCAGATGATATTACTCCTGAAAATTTGCAATATGTTCTCCAAAAATTTCAGGAATATAAGTGCGGAATCCAAAAGATGTTTTGGCGTTTAAACATGGATCAAAATGTTTATTCAGTTTCCTACAATAAACTCAGAAGAATTTACAGTATTTTGGAGATCAAAGAACCAAAAAGTGACAGGCCCCCTCAAAAATATTATACGCCATATGAAGCAACAAAACCTGATACCATATGGCATGTAGATGTTCATTTTTTATACGGTTCACAGAGGTTACCTGTTTATGGTATAATAGACGATAAATCTCGGTTTTTGTTGGCTTTAAAAATTTTGCCAAATAAATCTTCCGAATCTACAACAAGAGTTGCCGAAGAAACGATTGGCTTATATCAAAAGCCATTTTGTTTCTGGTCCGACAACGGGGGAGAGAATATGGGCCAATTTTATAATTGGCTCATGCGAAACAACATTCAAATCCGCCACACTCTCCCCCATATGCCGCGCCAGAACGGCAAGATTGAAAGGCTCTGGCCGTCTCTTGAAAGAAATGTCGGCCGGTCTTCAAATGCAAAACAAATTCAAGAATTTCTTGATAAATTCAGGAAAAATTACAACTCAGTACCACATAAAACCCTTCCCAAAAAGGGTTTTCGCCCCATGACTCCAGAAGAGTGTTACATTGAGACACCACATTGGAAACAGGGTGAAACGCCATTTTGGAGAGTTATGATTGATGGACACTTCAAAATCAAAGAAATACCGAACCATTGAATACACAATTACGAATAAACGCTTAATTTTTATAAAAATCTTATTACATTTTTCCTGAATTTTTAAATTGTACAATAAAGATGGAAGGCTGTTTCGTACCGAAATGGCTAACAAAAAAGTGATAGAAAACCTTAAATTGCGCGGCAATTTTAATTAAAAAAATAAACATTAATTTTTGTGATTGATATTATGCATTTTATTTATATTATATAAGATTTAAATTTAGGGGAAAAATTGGAAAAAAAATAAGATTGGAAGTCTTTAGGTAAGAAGGAAAGGGCAAGAGATATATAGTGTACCTATATACCTCTTGCCCTTTCATTCTAAGTAGAAATGGGAGAAACTTTGTCCGCATCATAAGTTATGCGGACAAAGTTTCTCCCATTTCTAATGGGAATTGTAGGCTATGAGGCACTGATATATAATCAGTACCTCATAGCCTACAATTTCCCTTATTAGACTTCCAAACTTTGAGTTAATGTCTTGACATTAACTCAAAGTTTGGAAAACTTCACGTAAGAATCAATCGTCAAAAACCTCGATTGCAGTTATATTCATTGTGTTAAATTTGATTTATTTTGAAATTTTTATAAATTAAATTTTATATAACATAAAGCGTTATGAATTAGTATTTCCATATGAATTTTATCTCGAAAATAGTAATTCTGTACAGTTATATTTCGGTTAATTTTGGAAATTTCTAGGAATAGTTTAAGATAGTATGATTATTTGTTTTCTTTTGACCTGAAAATCCCATAGTATCATTTTTTTGGCTCCAGTAATTTAAACTCTTGTTCGCGCGAATCTTTGTAGTTTGCATCAAATTTTGAATTTAAAAACAAGAAAAATAGTGAAATAAAGTAAAGAAAATCGAGGTTTTTATTCGTAAATAATTGGCTTTTGATTACGTATGGCTCTAAAATGAAGATTTTGTTTTGGAATTTTATCATTATTCTTTTGTCGTGAAATTTTCTATGCTTTCTTTGAGGCTGATGACCTGGCCATCAACCTCCCAATATGCTTCTTGATTTTGATCGAGGTACCAATGTAAATCTTTTTCGTGATCTTCAAAATCTGTTGGAGTAAAGTGTACGCCTGTGATTGGATTAATCGGCAGGCTCGCGTGAGGCATATTATTGTAAAAATGTATTACTTTTGGAATATCTTCATTACATCTGCAATTTTTTTCTGCATTGGGCCACCACTTTTCTATCTTTCCATTAGCCTGTGGATTTCCAGGCTTAATGAAAATTTGTGTAATTGAGTGTTTTTTGCAAAGTTTCGAGAATTCTCCGAAATTCTCTTTCCGTTATCCGTCCAAATCGCGTAAGGATAACCGGGAATCGTTTGTAAAGCTCTTTCAAGTATTATAGCTGTATTATGAGCCGTTTTTTCTTTCATGAGCTGATAATCAATAATTTTTCGAGAACGATCGTCGATTATAGCATATAAATATTGGCCTATCGTTCCACGCCAGTAATGAATATCGGCGTGCCATATTTCATGGCACTTTGTTGCAACGTAATTTCGAGGTTTGTATTTTTGTTCTGTAATTTCTTGATTTTCAGGAGGTTCCTTGATGAGGGCCTCATAAATTTTCCTTCCCATTCTGTAAGACGGAGGTGGAAATGGTTTTTCGATGTAATTAGCTGAAATTAAAGATTCTTCGACAGAATTTGTTTTTAAAACTGGACCATATGATTTCGGGACTTCAGTAACTAAAGAAATTCTATCAGTTTCTTTAAGCCAGTTACCAGAAGTAAAAAGGTTTGCATTTTGGAAGTTTTCTTTGATTTGCTGAAATTCTTGAGGGTGACTCTCAATTTTTGTAAGGTCTGTTTGAATTTTCTGTATTATTTTGTTGATTCCAGTATTCGGCATTTGATCTTTGAAATTACAAAATGCTTGAGCAGCATCCAAATCGATTTCTTCTGGTTTTCTTCCTTTTGGAGGATGATAAGGAATTGGCGCACGTAATTTTACTGCTTTTCGAAATGTGTTTTCAGAAATTTTTGAATATATAACTCTGCCTTCATGATTTATTTTAGCTTTCGCGCAAATATCAGTTAACTTAACTCCATTATTTGATTTTGTGATGGCTTCACAAAGCCAATCAATATCAATCTCTTCTGGAGAATGTCTTCTCATCTAGAATATTTTCATCTAGAATATTTTCAATACTTTACATACAAACATTTTTATTTCTAAAAAACTTTTTAATTTTTTCTAGGATATATGAATGAAAATAGTTAGAACAAGATTTTGAAGCTCAAAACATTAAAAATTATTAAAGATTTGTATAATATGATTAAAAATGGGAAATAATATGAGGCAATATAAAGGAATATGAATATTAAATAAATATATCTAAATAGAAAGAATCAGAAAAATCAAATTATTGGCGCCAAAAATGTCACCTTTTTGGTGAGCCATTTCGGTATGAGATAATAAAGATGGAAGGCTTTGGGGTACATATTAATATAATATACCTCAAAGCCTTCCATCTCCACTACAAATGGGAGAAACTTTGTCCGAATAGTTTAACATTCGGACAAAGTTTTTCCCATTTTAAGAAGGAATTGCAGGGTAAGAGGTACATAGTATGAATATATACCTCTTCCCCTGCAATTCCTTCTAGAAAGTTCCAAAACTTTGGGTTAATTGCAAGACATTAACCCAAAGTTTTGGAACTTTCAAGTGGAGATGGAAGGCTTTGGGGTACATATTAATATAATATACCTCAAAGCCTTCCATCTCCACTACAAATGGGAGAAACTTTGTCCGAATAGTTTAACATTCGGACAAAGTTTCTCCCATTTAAAGAAAGAATTGTTCCTTATGAGGTATATATTCATACTGTATACCTCATAAGGAACAATTCCCTCCTTAAAACGAGAAAACTTGTTCGAAATTGTTTATCATTTCGAACAAGTTTTCTCGTTTTTAATAAGAAACTAATGGCTATGAGGCACTGATTATATATTAGTGCCTCACAGCCTTTAGTTTCTAATAGATAGCTGGGAAACTTTTTCCAAATGATAAGTTATTCAGAGAAAGTTTCCCAGCTATCAAGAGGGAATTGTTCCTTATGAGGTATATAGTTATAATGTATACCTCATAAGGAACAATTCCCTCATTAAAATCGTAGATATTTTTTACTTATTACTCATGCTTTCAAAATCACAATCCTCTGAAAAGTTATTTTTTATTAAGAATTTAGAATTTTGATAAATACCTTTTTTCAATTTGATATAATACTTATATATTTTCAAAAAGACATTTTGAAAAGATATCTCAAAAGTTCTCTGAAAACATATTTTTGATTAATTTTGAGAAATATCCGTATTAAATTAATCAATAAATTCATTCAACACTACTTTAATTTTTAAATTCAAAAAATTATATGTGCTTCTTAAAATGTCTCACAAAAATTTTATTATAAAATTATATACAATATTAAAAATCCCACAACATTTTTTACTTTACATAATCGTACTTCCTCGACGATTAATTTCCCCTCAATTCCTATCGTTGACCGAACTTAGCATGCAACAATCTCTTGTTATTTTTCTATAGCCTTACATTTTGTACGATCTGAAATTTATTTTTGAGTTGGTTGATATTTTTACCTATTCATGAGTAATTTATTATTGAGATCAAAAAAAGTGTAAACAATTTCAAAGAAAAAATCATCGGAAAATTGGCAAGCATATTATTTTAATTATCATAATTAATTTTAATATCGATGTAAAAAATTTTCAACCACTAAAATACTGCCTGTGAATTAAAGTTAATTATGCCATTTCACTAAAAAAACATATTATATTTGCTTCATAACAGTCCATTCAAACGTATTTTCTTAAAATAAATTCGAACTCCCTAAAATTTTGCATCCATATTTCTTCCAAACAATTTTCATGCATTTGCATATTAAAAATGATACGCTAACGTTTGTTATCAATAATCTCTCGTTTACGCTCCTATCTGATTCTGATCGAATTAGTTTTAGAGATTTCCACAGACGTTTATTTTTCAAGACATGTGATATAAAAAATTGATGAATTTTAGAATTCTCTAAAATTTTATATCAATGCAGAAAAAATCTTCCCTCGGGATTACTAGCTTTCTCGAGGGAACGGATGAAACAGCATCTGCATTGAATTTTCCGCCAACAGAAATTCTTCGAAAGCCAGATGATAAATATGTTGAAGCAGACAAAGACAAGTTAATGACATTTTTATATCCATGCGACGTACCTCGGCGTAATTATCAGTATGACATATCCCAAGCTTGTTTTAAAGAAAATACACTCGTATGTTTACCAACAGGTACAGGAAAAACATTCATAGCTTCAGTTGTCATGATGAATTTTTACAGGTGGTATCCTTCGAGTCTAATCATCTTCTGCGCGACTACACGTGCCTTGGTCGAGCAACAAATTTCGGCATGCAATAGTTTTACGACAATTCCTGAGGATGATACTGTAGTTTTAGTCGGAACTTCAAGTACAACACTTCGAAAAATCGTTTGGGATGATTATAGAGTCGTTTACGCAACACCTCAAACGGTTCAAAACGAAATTAAAAAAGGAAAGCTCGATCCATGCAAAATTTCCCTGATAATCTTCGATGAAGCCCATCATGCGCATGGTAAACAATCGTATGGCATGATTACGCGCATGGTTGCCGAAAGAAGTTCTCAATTTCGTGTTATTGGCCTTTCTGCGACACCAGGAAGCAACATTCAGCAAATACAAGATATTATTTACAACTTAATGATATCTCAAATCATATATAAAGACGATACAGACCCAGATATCGCTCAATACCAACATCAAACAGATATTGAGTACATTACTGTTCATGCTGGGGATGATGACGAAGCAGTTCGTCATAATCTTGATGAATGCATACAGTTCATTGCTTCTCCTCTTCAAAACAGCAATGTTCTCTCAATTATGAATTTAGATTATCTTACAAGAGGCAGTGTTTTCCTTTCCATGAACAAATACAAAGAAACAAGCCAAGGAGCACCCAACTTCAGCAAGAACATGAGCTATTTGACCATTTTGTTATCATTAACCGCGATGAAAGAAAAATTATTGAAGTACGGACCGAATTTTCTTGACAAAGCCATAAAAGATTTCGAAAATAAGCGCAACTCTAACGAAAGGAGGCAGCTAATGGCAACTCCTGCATACATTGCGCTTGCGAAATCTACAAATCTTGCAAAAAGTTCATCCCATCCTAAACTTGCCAAGTTACATTCGATTCTCAGTGATTTCTTTTCCACTAAGAAAGATTCCCGATGCATTGTCTTCGCTTCTTTAAGAGAAGTCGCTGCCGACATCGAAAAAAATATCAAAAACGTGCCAAATGTAAACTGTCACGTTTTTACTGGAAAAGCTGCCACGGACGATACAGAAGGAATGACCGATCACATGCAGCAGACGATTGTTGATCTATTTCGGAAGGGAACATTCAATGTTATCATTGCAACATGTGTAGCTGAAGAAGGTTTAGATATTGGCGAAGTAGATTTAATTGTTTGTTACGATGTTCAAGCATCAGCATTGCGAACTTTCCAAAGGATTGGCAGAACAGGTCGTAAACGTGCTGGTCGTGTTGTTTTCCTTATATCAGAAGGTGTAGAAGAAAGAGCTCTTAAAAAAGCATTGAACACAAAAACACAAGTTAAAGATTTATTGACAAAATCAATTTCAAGATTTGTTTTGTACAAACCATTAGTTCCTAACCTTCCTCTTCCAAAGGAAATGCAAGCAATCAAACTGATGTGTGCAAAAGAAAAAGGAATTGCGAAATATTTCGCTCCAAACCAGCAAAGGAAAAGTCATAAACCAATTCTAGGATCAACAGAAGCTCTTGAGTTTAAGACTGTTTTCAACAAGTCTTTTAAATTCAGGAAACCGAAATTTGATATAAAAATGGCTTCTTTCGGTATCAGATCGAAATGTAAAACATTTTCACATTCCAGTGAAACAATTATCCTCAATACTTTCGCATATAACTTTAGCGAATCTCAACCTGAATCTCTTGATCAAAAAGTTGAAAATTTATTTGGACAAAAATCAGATTCAGAAAATGATTCCGACATTGCTGAAAAATCTGTTTTTTCTGTTCAAACAATTGCGAAAAGCTCCGAGACAAGTGATTCTGAGTCGAATTCCACATCAGAACTCGAAGATGACAACAGTCAGAGCTTTTCAAAGTTTGGAATAAGCAACAGTGTTCCTTTAGTCCATCAACAAACATTTTCTGACTTTTCTTCGCAGAATTCTACAGCTACTTCGAATAACAATACATCTACATTGTATGCTGATAGTAGCAATCCTTACACATTTCGGAATTCTGGTTTCGGAGATTCAGAACCACAAGACAACAAATTTTTGTCGAGTGACGATGATGAACAACAAAATTCGGAAATTCAGCAACAAAGTTTCTTGTCGGACAGCTCTGAAGAAATCAACATTGACCAGAAATACTTGTCAGATGATGATGACGATGAAGATATAGAGTCAATCATTAAAGAAGCAGAAAAAGAATATAACGCTCAGACACAAAATATGAAGCAAGAAATTCCTTCATTGATTGATTCAAACTCAGATTCAGATTCATCAGATGTTGTTATCGTTGGTGAAAAACATCATGGTGAGGAAACTACTTATTTATCATCGTCCAATGATTAATATATATTATTTTGTTTGTTACTTATATAAATATATATATTTCTCTAAGAAAATATGAACTAGATCTTGGAGAAACTGCTTACTATAAGATAATAATGTCGGATTTCTTCCATTAAAAAAATTTGAGAGTATGTATGGGAAAAAATGTTTTTTACATATGGACTCACGTCAATTGTTATCATTTGCTTCTTGGTTGCAGCCAACGGAGATGAGAAATTTGACGACTTCAAGATGTCCATTCTTTGAAGCACAAATAAGTGGTGTACATCCATCGTTGTCCTTCGCTTCTTTGTTACAGCCAATGGAGATGAGATAACAAACTATTTCAAGATGTCCATTCTTTGAAGCACAAATAAGTGGTGTACATCCATCGTTGTCCTTCGCTTCTTTGTTACAGCCAACGGAGATGAGATAACGAACTATTTCACGATGTCCATTCTTTGAAGCACAAATGAGTGGTATACATCCATCATTGTCCTTCGCTTCTTTGTTACAGCCAACGGAGATGAGAAATCTGACGACTTCAAGATATCCATTCTTTGAAGCACAAATGAGTGGTGTACATCCATCGTTGTCCTTCGCTTCTTTGTTACAGCCAACGGAGATGAGATAACGAACTATTTCACGATGTCCATTCTTTGAAGCACAAATAAGTGGTGTACATCCATCATTGTCCTTCGCTTCTTTGTTACAGCCAACGGAGATGAGATAACGAACTATTTCACGATGTCCATTCTTTGAAGCACAAATGAGTGGTGTACATCCATCGTTGTCCTTCGCTTCTTTGTTACAGCCAATGGAGATGAGATAACAAACTATTTCAAGATGTCCATTCTTTGAAGCACAAATAAGTGGTGTACATCCATCGTTGTCCTTCGCTTCTTTGTTACAGCCAACGGAGATGAGATAACGAACTATTTCACGATGTCCATTCTTTGAAGCACAAATGAGTGGTATACATCCATCATTGTCCTTCGCTTCTTTGTTACAGCCAACGGAGATGAGAAATCTGACGACTTCAAGATATCCATTCTTTGAAGCACAAATGAGTGGTGTACATCCATCGTTGTCCTTCGCTTCTTTGTTACAGCCAATGGAGATGAGATAACAAACTATTTCAAGATGTCCATTCTTTGAAGCACAAATGAGTGGTGTGCATTTATCATTGTTCTTCGCCTCTTTGTTGCAGCCAAAGCAGGTGAGAAATTGGACTATTTCAAGATGTCCATTCTTTGAAGCACAAATAAGTGGTGTACATCCATCGTTGTCCTTCGCTTCTTTGTTACAGCCAACGGAGATGAGATAACAAACTATTTCAAGATGTCCATTCTTTGAAGCACAAATAAGTGGTGTACATCCATCGTTGTCCTTCGCTTCTTTGTTACAGCCAACGGAGATGAGATAACGAACTATTTCACGATGTCCATTCTTTGAAGCACAAATGAGTGGTATACATCCATCATTGTCCTTCGCTTCTTTGTTACAGCCAACGGAGATGAGAAATCTGACGACTTCAAGATATCCATTCTTTGAAGCACAAATGAGTGGTGTACATCCATCGTTGTCCTTCGCTTCTTTGTTACAGCCAACGGAGATGAGATAACGAACTATTTCACGATGTCCATTCTTTGAAGCACAAATAAGTGGTGTACATCCATCATTGTCCTTCGCTTCTTTGTTACAGCCAACGGAGATGAGATAACGAACTATTTCACGATGTCCATTCTTTGAAGCACAAATGAGTGGTGTACATCCATCGTTGTCCTTCGCTTCTTTGTTACAGCCAATGGAGATGAGATAACAAACTATTTCAAGATGTCCATTCTTTGAAGCACAAATAAGTGGTGTACATCCATCGTTGTCCTTCGCTTCTTTGTTACAGCCAACGGAGATGAGATAACGAACTATTTCACGATGTCCATTCTTTGAAGCACAAATGAGTGGTATACATCCATCATTGTCCTTCGCTTTTTGTTACACAGCCAACGGAGATGAGAAATCTGACGACTTTTCAATATCCATTCTTTGAAGCAAAATGAGTGGTGTACATCCATCGTTGTCCTTCGCTTCTTTGTTACAGCCAATGGAGATGAGATAACAAACTATTTCAAGATGTCCATTCTTTGAAGCACAAATGAGTGGTGTGCATTTATCATTGTTCTTCGCCTCTTTGTTGCAGCCAAAGCAGGTGAGAAATTGGACTATTTCAAGATGTCCATTCTTTGAAGCACAAATAAGTGGTGTACATCCATCGTTGTCCTTCGCTTCTTTGTTACAGCCAACGGAGATGAGATAACGAACTATTTCAAAATGTCTATTCTTTGAAGCACAAATGAGTGAAGTGTTTCCATTTTCATCCTTTGCGTTTTGAGTCATTCCAAAAACAGTTAATAATTTAATGAGTTCTAAATTTCCCCTTTTAGCGGCTTCCAAATATACTTTGATTGAATTTTCTTTTCCAATTTTTGAGATTAGGGTATCATTTACATTTTTACAATATCTTCGAAATATTTGTACAAACTTTGGAAATCCTCCACAATGACTGAAATTCCATTATTATCATCTCTTATATTTTCCTCTTGCAATTGATGAGGAAGCTGTTCCTTTTCCATTTTGAGAAATGATATGGCAAAAAAAATTCTGAAGATTTCAAAAATTTTAAAAATTTTAAACTTATTATATTTTTATTAGTTCCTTCAAAAAATATGATAAAGTTACGGTGAATTTTTATCAACATTAGACTTTACGGTGAATTAAATTACGACTTTAAATTCAATATGAAAATTTAAAAGTGGTTTCACTGAATCTAATCAGCAGATCCCTCAAAATTGTCCTCTTATTTTCCAGGAACGTTAATATTCATTTTAATAGCAAAAAAGTACAGCAGTCTTATTAGATATTATACAATGATTTATATTGCCTAATTCATAACCAAAAATACCAACATTTTGCAAAAATGTGATATTCAAAGCTTCAAATCATATTCTTCACGTGTAAACCTTTATAAATTTAAAGTTTTTGTTTCAAAAACTTCTAGGATGTCAAGAAGAAAGTTTACCAATAAAAAAACAAATGAGCAATTGAAACAAATCTATATATATTTAGACCTTTAATCACTCTGATTTTTGGTTTAAAAAAGATTGTTCATTTGTTTATATAAAAAGATAAAATAAAGAAATATAATAAATGATTGAAATGAAACTTATAGAATAATAAGCCATTTGCCCCAATAAAATCGTCCCTTTTCGAAATGCGCATAGCTAAAATCATTATATATATATATAAAAAAAAAGAAAATTTATAAAATAATTTTGAGAGTTGCTGTTTCTGTCAAAGGTTGGCTTCCATATTTGAAGCTAGCTCTAGCCTGGAGTCCGAAAGGAAGGTCAATCTCCTTCAGGAAGTAAAGCATCTGTGTAAGCGGCTTTCCGCCGATCTGCATCAGTCTATTTCCATCTAAAGGCTTTGCCATCATCTTCCATCCTCTTGCCACGTTGTATTCCAGCTTGAAATCTGAGAGTTCCTTCGCTGCCTGGGACACAACTGTGAGTTTGACGGCAACTTGGTTCGGATTTTCTGGATTTGGCTGGCATTGCGAGTAAACAATGAAATCGTTGGTTCGCCAGCACTCGCTAGCACCCTGTGGTGGTGGTGTTGGCCCACTAACTGCTGCTGGCTGCTGTTGGACTGAGATATTATTATTTGTCTGGACAGGAGAAGCGGAAAGGAGGTCTCCAATCAAGTCATTAGCCTTAGGAGCACTTGGAGCAGGGCTTCCGCCGAACAAATCGACTGCTGGAGGGTTGGATTTCGCTGGTTGGTCCATGACTTGGAGAAGAATTTGATCTACAGCCTCTTGTGGCTTGGCTGTGACCTGAGCGACCTGTGGATGCTTCTCTTCGCTCGATTCTGTTGAACTTGGCTGTAATGGCGATAAAAATTCTTCACATAAATTATCCATTTGAAGAATATTGGCCATTTCGCCTGCGCGCTGCTGTACTTCTATGTTATTTGATGATGCCAATTGCTGCATAAGCTCAATGGCCTCTTGACGACGGTTTAAGCGCGTAACTAATTTTCCTAACGCTGTAATTATGTAAAACTTGGTCTCATTCTTTGTCTGTGGGAGGGAAACGATTTGTTTGAATCCCTCGATGGCTCCGTTGTCTTCTACAGCGAATTCTCCAATGACAAATGCGGATACTTGGACTAATGTCTGGTTATCTGAGAATTGGAGCATGCAGGCAAGCAGCTGAGATACAGCATGTTGTTGTATGTCGGAATTCTTGAGAATCATGTCACAAAAGTCCGTAATTATTTCTTGAGATACGTAATTTCCGCTGTCGATAAGGATTTGATGGACAATATCGAATAACCAGAGCTTGGATGGGCCAAATCTGACGGCCGCTGTGTAGATCTTTGTAATAAGTTCACATCTGAAGTCGGAATCGGCCAAACGGATGAATGTAATGATTTCTGGTATTAATGTCTCGACGTTGGTTTCATCAATGAGTGCGGAAATGACATCCAAAGCTCTGCGACGAATTGATGGGTCGCGGTGGTCAAGGCAACGAACAATATGCTTCTTGTAGCGTTGTAGAGCTTGCGTATCGACACTTCCACGGTTAATGATGTCTCTTTCTGTGTAAAGAACGCGAGCAAAAACGGATAATGCGGAATAAAGAACGTTTGGATCTTTGAGGCTGAGGAGACGGCCAACTTGGTTAAAAGCCAAGCCACGTAATGATGCTGTTGGGGAAACTGCAACAACTAATTCGACGGCCTGATATAAAACTGCTCTTCCTGTGTTTCTACGGGTTTCTGTTGAAGAAACAATGGATTGTAAGACTTGGTCGAGTTCATCGGAGCTCTTCTTGAGGAGAGCGAGGGCTTTCATTGCCTTAATTTGCATATAAGGATCGTTGAAGACGCCGTAGCTAAATTCGCGAGTGCCTCTTGATGTTGAGAGAGCTTTGAGGATCCTTGTGAATGGGCCAGCGAATTGCCCCCATAATTTGGAAAGACGAGGTTCTACAGTAATTAAGCTGATAACAGCGTTCATGCCTGAAAGAACTACGCCATGATTTGTATGATTTAACAGTTTTTGAACTGAATTCTTGAAAGCTTCCGCAAGATCTGGGTTCTGTTTAACAATACGAAGAATAGCCATACCAGCATGCTTCAATACATTTGGATAGCTTGATTCTATGCATTTCTGAACACTTGTTGCCACATCACGGCATACTTCTGACGTTCCGCAGTTTGCAATGAAGGCAAGAGCGAGGCTTTGAATGTTTGGATTAGGATTGTTGAGATCTTTGAGTAGTGTTTGTGTGACGAGAACTGAAATATCAGCGGATTCATCAAGTAAAACCTCACCGGCGATATAACCAATTCGTTTAAATGAAAACTGCTCTTCTGACATCAATGTAAGAACTTCCATTTGTCCCCATGGGTTATTCTGACCTAAAATTTCTAAAAATAGAAGCTTCATGACGTTTCTTGGTCGATATTGAGATTCGCCTCTGCGAACACTCGCACGAACAAGAGCTTGTTCGGTTGAAATTAAGAACTTCTCCTGTTCGAATGTATCAGCTAGACGTACTGAGCTGATGAATTCGTTGAGAGGCGTAGTCATGTTAAAATCCTTTGAAAATTCGGAACAAAGTTTTTCAAATTTCATCCAAAAATTCTTTTTATAAATAAATGATACAAGAAAAGCAAAATATAGATAGTTTATGGTATGATGTTTCTGGTCTCAATTGGAAAATATGCTCAAATCAAAGTAAAAGATTTTTTGATTTTGTAATATTCAATTGACAAGCGTATAACTACATGAAATCTTTCTAAATTCTCCCAAAAATGACAAATTGTCAAATGATAAGAGATCATTATATATTCAAATTTCAAATTAACAATTTGGCCAAATTAGAATGATTCTTCTTGTCTCACATTAAGCCATTTGTTTTAAGTTTAAAGCGTTAAATCTTAATTTTAGCTTTACATGTATGATTTTTGAGAATAAAGAAATATCTTTTTCAAATAAGCCTCATTGATGCTAAAAATGTCATAAATAGTTCTAATGAGTATAAATACAAATGCTCAACCAAGAGTTAAAAAGTTTGAAACTCATTCAATCAAATTGATCAAGAAATTTTTCATTTTCAAGGGTGAATCAAAGTTAATTACAGATAGGCATACTACTTTTAAAGCTATGTAAAGTCTGTCGCCGCTTAGAATTCACATCGATTTCGAACATGTCACTTTTACAATTTTTTTTTGAAATGAGCGAACAAGAACAAATTGATTCTGATGAATTAGTTTCTATTGTTTGTTCAAAATCTATTGATATTCAGGATCTCATTGAGAATAATGATCCAAATGCGCTCCAAGAGTTTCAAACATTTTATGATCAAGCAATACAAGCACTTGATTTACAAATTGAGAAGGTATCCGCACTTGATATGGAATCCTCAAACTATTTTGATATATTTAACGACGCAACGAAGGAGTTGAAAACTTTGAGAGATAAAGTTTTTGCTTTAACAAAGGATAAGAAGCAGCAAAATGAAACCCTTGATATACTTCAAAAAGAGAACGATGTTCTTGAAAAAGAATACTTGGAATTACTTAATAAAAACGATTCTACAGATTATAAGTCAATGATCGAAGAAGTTCAAAAGCAGATTGACGAACTACAGAATAAAGAGCAAGATGTTGATAAACAACTTGCCGAAAACTCAGGAAAAACAACAGATATGGAAAATGAAATTCCTTCACTTAAAAAGCAGATCGATGATACCGAAGATGGTCTTGCCGTTAAAATCAAAAAGAATCAGAGAAGAGCGAAAGAAATTGAAGCAAGATTGAAGAAATTGGAAACTCAGCCAATTACTGCCTCAAATCCAAAGGAAAAGGTCTTTGATGAAGAAGAAGATACAGCTGGTCCATCAACTATCATACATAGAACTACAGGAACCGTTCAAGATCAGATCAGAGAACTAAAAACTGATTTGGAAGAAGCTCTCAAGTTAAATGGTTCATTGAAGACGAATATGAAAGGTCTTTCCCAAGATTTGGATGCAATGCGTGAAGAAAATTTCCAATTAAAAGAACTTCTCAGATCAATACAAAAGGATAAGAAGAAATAATGACATAAGGATATTTTCCCTATGTTTAGTATAAAAATTTCCATGATTTTTGAAGAAATTATCTTCCATTTTATATTTTCAATTGAAATATTGTAAAAATACTTTATCTTTCGACTTTTTCATGTCTTGCTTGAGAATCTTATAATAATTTATATCATAATTTAATTATATTTCGAAGTTTGAAATAAGATTAAACACAATTTTTTGGTATTTAGCAAGTAGGAACACTCAGTGTGATTTAGCATATTAAATTGATGCTTTTATTACTATATTCGAAATCTAATTCCTCGTATGTAAATAATTAAACAGATCAAGGAAATTATTCCATGTTTTAATAATTGGCAAAATGGTTCCATGATTCACTTTTTTCTAGTAGGGCACTTAGACAGCATAATGTGGGCTGAGTTAATAGATTTCTCTTTTGTATTGATAATATAATTTGGCTAATTTGAGGGCAATCACAATTAATGATTTTTGTTTCAGTTACCTCTTTGATATTTTCGAATTTGATTGCATCTGCTGGTGCACCTTTTGTTGATGCTGATTCTGGATATGAATTTGTATAGCAATTTGATGCGGTAATATATGCGTTACCATTCTTTGCAACAAATAACGTGTGTGCATCTGGATTTATCAATGTGCAATTGTCTAAATATACATGAACAGCATATTGGCATCCCAAGACAATATTAACTTTGTTAGTAATGATAGAACATAAAGAAAAATTAATAGTATTATTATCACCCATAGTAGAAATAATAGATATTGCATAAAGGTTACCAGTTGATGTGTTATTGATCACATTCATATATGAAATGTATGCTTTATCTGGATCTTGAGGATAGAAAAATAATGCCCCAATTCTAGACTTTCCATTTGAAATATTGCAGCTTCTAGAAAAAAATATTCCTCTTATTAATGAAATTTGAGTTCCCGGATTATAATTTGTATATTTGCCACATTCTGAGACACATGATTCATTGAACTCATGTCGCTGTAAGAAGAATGCTTCACAATCAATTCTTTCAAATTGACCATAATATTCACCAGCGCTTTCGCCCGTAACTTTTGATGTCGTATTAGATGCAATAATTTTCTTTTGAACAACATTTCCAAGAAAATATATAGTTACTGGTGAATAAGTTTCGCATGATATTTCAGTGAAAACAGAATTTTCAAGCAAAAATTTACAACGAGGACTATTGTATGCATCGCATATTATACTTATGACATTATTTGACAAGTTACTAAATATAGAATCTGCAATATAGTATCCACCTCCTGGACTCACATTTTGATTTTGATATACAACATAGCTTTCATTTCCATAAACTTCTTCCCAGGAAGTTTTATGGCAATTATTAAAGACCCAAATCGCGAAATTTATTCATTAATTAAAACTTTGCTTATAGAACAAATACCTATGTAAATACAAACCATGGTTATTGAATCAAAAATCGAATTTAAATCGAATAAATTTTAACTTATATTTCCTCCATTTATTTGTATTATACAATGCAGTGAAAAACTACTTCCGATGGTATTATTTGTTCTTATTTCAACTTCCAACTACGCGTAATTCACTAAATTCTAGCATATAAATATATTTAAAAATTTGAAATGACACTTTTTCGGAAACAATGATGTAGTTTTTGAATTTTCTGAAGAACTGAATTCTGATAATGAAATATAATATTGTGATAATTATGAAACTTTTATGGTTTAGCCTCATTCTTGAATGTAGTGAAACTACTCTAATAATATTAATTAATAATTATATCTTTTGGATATTGTTTTCGATGCTATTATTATTGGATTTTTCTGATTCAAAATTTTGCCATTTACAACTTGTATTGAAACATTTGAGAATTAAATTATTCAATGCACGGAGTGTAAGCCATTAATGAATGATGTTAATTACGTATTAGATTAAAATGACTCGGTAACCAAATTTTAAGGTTAATTTCAATGATATGTGTCAAAAAAAATTAAAGTCGAGAAAAATGTGATATAAATCCAATGAAGCATGGAACTGTTATACTTATCATTATTTTGGGCTTTTATTTTGTGCCTATAATCTTTCATTTGATTAAGTTTATTCATTTAAAAACTTTGTTGCTTAAACTCGAAATCAATTTCTTAGAAACACATCAAATTTAGAGCATATAAGGAAAATAATTTTATCACTTCTATTTTATTGAAACAATCATTTTCATGATTCACTTTTTCTCAATTAGTCATCTAAGACACCATAAGGTAGGCTGTGTTAATGACTTTTCTTATTAAATGATAATATTTTGAGAGTTTTTTCCATTTGGACAATTTGATTGCATTCCAAATGAATTATTTTTGTTTCAGATAATTCTGTTATGTTTTCGAATTTGATTGCATCTGCTGGTGCACCTTTTGTTGATGCTGATTCTGGATATGAATTTGTATAGCAATTTGATGCGGTAATATATGCGTTACCATTCTTTGCAACAAATAACGTGTGTGCATCTGGATTTATCAATGTGCAATTGTCTAAATATACATGAACAGCATATTGGCATCCCAAGACAATATTAACTTTGTTAGTAATGATAGAACATAAAGAAAAATTAATAGTATTATTATCACCCATAGTAGAAATAATAGATATTGCATAAAGGTTACCAGTTGATGTGTTATTGATCTCGTTTATACAAGAAATCCTTGCATTAGTTGAATGATGATGTAAAAAAAATAATGTTGCAACTCTCGATTTACCATTTGATATATTGCAGCTTCTAGAATAAAGTATTCCTCAATTCAATGAAATTTGAGTTCCTGGATTGTTATCAGTATATTTGCCACATCCTGAGATGCATGATTCATTAATTTCATTTCTTTTTACATTGACATATTCACAATCAATTCTTTCAAATTGGCCAGAATATTCACCAGTGCTTTCTCCAGTAACTTTATTCGTCGTGTTGAATGCAGCAATATTCTTTTGTACAACATCACCAAGAAAATATATAGTTAGTGGTGAATAATTTTCACATGATATTTCGCTGAATACAGAATTTTCAATCAAAAATTTGCATCCATAACTATTGTTTGCATCGCATATTATACTTATGGCATTATTTGTCATGTTACTAAATCGAGTGTCTGTAACGTAGTATCCTTGTCCTTTGATAAGTGTTTGATTGTTATATATATTATATGTTTCATTTCCAAAGACTTCTTCCCAGGATGTTTTAAGCAAAACACGAGATGTGTTCATTGACTAAAAGTAAATTTACATTTAAAATGTCAATATGAATGCTTAGTATATTTATTAAACTAAAAATATAATTGAAATCGGACATTTTAAAATTCCTTAATTAATGCTTGTTTTGAGATTCGATGAGAGTGCTGTTAATATAGTGTCTAATTTTATTCTTAATTCATCTTCCATTTCACGAGTATTTCATTTAATACCAGCAAATATTTAGTTTTTTAAAAAAATGGCACTTTTTGGTTAGATAATCTTTTATTATGCGAATGTTGTGATTTTAATATATTTATCATAAAAGCGCTGATTCAATGGTGGGGGTAATAGTTGGCGTCACGACGTAAACTATTCAATTTTGAATGGAGACAGTTTATTTTTGAGAAGTTTACAGTGTCACGAGAAAAATTTTCAGACGGCTGGCGTCACGAAAAGTGTCAATAAAGATAGAATATAGCAGAAAATGTGTGTGGGAATATGATAACAAGATAAATTTAAATGTTTTAAAGAATTTTATTTGAATTACTGGAGCATTTTTAAATAAGAAGTGCTTGCGCAGACAGTGTGTCTCAGATGCAAGGAATATGACTCACAAGAACGCTTTACAGCATCTTGACAGTCAAAGTTGTACAATCAAATTTTTTTTGCGAAGCTTCCTTCATTCAGAGGTGCTTGCGCAGATGATGTGTCTCAGATACAAAGAATTCGACGAAAACAAGCCAATTGTTGCTAATTAAAGTTCCAAGTTCTCTGACATATTATCTCCTCAAGTGTCTTCGAATGGACGAGCATTACACATTTGTTGAGCTATATGAAATATTTGGATGTGAATATGAAAATTTCCTATTTTGACACTTTTCGTGACGCCAGCTCTCTCAAATTTTCTCTCGTGACACCGTAAACTTCTCAAAAATGAATGTAAACTTCTGAATTTTCTGAACTTTACGTCGGGACGCCTCGTGACGCCAAACCTAGTTTTTACCTGTTTCAATAATTTGAATGTAGAAATAAAAAGTGAAAGGAATACGCAAGTCAAAAGCATGAGATATAATGGGATTATAATGGTTCATTCTGAAGCATATATTCATTGAACGCTGTTTTCAAATCAAAATAATCTATTTATAGTGAATCAGATATTAGAAGATGGAAATAATGAGTCATTAGTATTTTAAGATTTAATGGTAATAAACAAACAAAAATATAAAAAAAATAAGATAATATTAAATATTATCCAGAGTATATCCGATTGGATCATCTTCGTATAAAACTCTACGATTCTCTTCTAATTGGCGCTGTGTCTCCTCATGCAGCCGAGCATTTTCTCTTCGAATAATTTCAGGAGAAAGCGTCTGTTTTTGAATTGGTGGAGATTCTTGTATTTTTCTAAATCTCACTACAGGTTCTGGTGCTGGGTTTTGGATTCTTATCGTTTCTTTTGACAAAGAATTAATTTCTGAAGACATTTGTTTAGTTAGTTGCACTAATGAAGTCTTAACTTCAGCTAACTCTTTTTGTAATCCACCTTCATTGTGATCCTTAATTATGTCGAAAATTGATCTTAATTCATTTGAAATTCTTTTACTATAGTTCTGTCTAGGGCTACTTTGTGATTGTGGTTGCATTTGTCTATATAATTCTGCCTTTTCGATTGAATTTTCCACCGACTCAAGTTCCATCATCTGATTCTGAGTTCTGGTTGAGAATTCTGCCATTCTTAATTTGCAGGATCGTAGTACTCTATGAAGGTATTTGATTTTGCTTATCTGTACTTCATGTTGCGCTTTGCAAATTTTTAAATAATTCTGACAAGCTTCTTGGCTTTGTTGTGTTATGTCTTGGAATATCTGTCGACATGCTTCTAATGATTTATTAGCTTTTTCAAGCATTTGCCTCGTTTTTGCCTTTTCATATTCTTGAGAAGTATGATAATCCGCAAGTTGTTGTTCAATTTGTGATATTTGTTCATTGCAACTGTAAAATACATCAGTGTTTATATTACTAACTGGATTTTGATAAATGCATTCATCTTGTATTGCATCGGGAATTTGAGTGATAAGATCGTGTATAGTTCTGTCAACAAGTGGATTGATATCAATTACTTCTGGGTGTATTGCTGTAACGATGTTTCTAGCTGTAGAATAACGGATTTCAGCCAAAGAATGAGAAAAAATCCGTTTGAATGTATTTTCAAAACTCCTGATCGAAGGAGGGCATTGAGAATCACTTATTATGGAATACATAGAAGATGAATTTTGGGCTTGTTCATCTCGAAAAAACGTTGTCGAAATATTGTTAGTATCTGACTCAATTTGCTTTGAATCCGAATTTGTTTGTGATGCATTTTCGTTTTGTAGGCTTTCTATTGATGTATTTGAGCTTGTTGCAGAAATTTGATTTATTGGAAGGTTTTGCGTATTGGAATATGTTATTTCGGTCGGATTTATCTGATTTTGGTCATTGATAGATTGTGTTTTATCACTTGAATCTTGATTTTCGTCTGGTTGTTGAAAGGAATTAATCAAATTACTACGATCTAAAAGGATTTGTGGCTGTGATTGAGCAGGTTTAAAGTTCAACATGCTTTTCCTTCCGGTGTTTGTTGTAGGGAAAATAGGTTTTGGGATGTTTGAATCCCCAAAAAGCATTGAATTGAAATAAAATGATTTCAATTAAAAATTTTCAAAACGCATTGTCACATAAAATAAGTAACTGCGATATTTCAAAATGTACGTTTGTCGGTTTTGAAAAAATTGAATGCGTAATTTCAAATTTCTTCAGAAAATTGTGCTACGGAAGCAAAAATATGTCATCATCATGACTCTATACTAGTACTGATACATACAGCGAGAATTCTTTGAGTCTTTATAATAAAGGCTTGAGAAGTGTTTAAACATTGATCGTTATTCTGATTCAAGCTGAAATAATATAAAGTAGAGGCATATGATACGAATCGAATAGGAAATAATGACGAAAATAAAATAAATCAAAAAAATTGATTCAATTTAATCAAATTTTTGAACAAAAGTAATTGAGAATTAAATTACAAGTACTAATTAAAAGTATTATATATAAAAATCTTTATTATAAAAAACACAAACATATAAATTAACAATATTATTACATTGTCAAAGCCACAGCATCAATAATTGCTTGTTTGTAAGCTTCTCTGTCAACATCAGCCTCAATTGGAGGAAGTTTCTGCATGCATTTGAAATCCTTGCATTGGCAATGTTCTGGCTTCTTATGGACAGGGAAATAAGACACATTTAAGTGATTTGCGAAGTCCTTCATGTAATCTATGCAAAAATCTTTTGGAGGTGAAACATCAACGATGGCTGTTTTGTTTGGCTCTAAAAATACGGACAATGCGAGGTTATTTAAGTGATTTCCTACGAAAACAGTCGCTCGGCCAACGATATCTGCAGCAGCTTGAATATCATCTTGAGGACGAAGGGAAGAAACCTCGCAAGTAGGGCAGGCGAGCTTTGTATCATCTTCTAAGTGGCTCATGCATGTAGGAAGGACGATTCTCTTTGGAAATCTTTGAGATTTGATATAATTTTTCCTTAAAGTGGAATAATTGAGTTGTAGAGCATATCTTATATCATCTTCATGTGTGAAATCCATGTTATACTTCGTTCCTGTGAAAACAAGTCTTCTAAAACAAGTTACATTTTTAACTTTCACAGTTCCTTGCGGATTGATGCGTCCGTATAATACTGTGTTTCCTTGTTGAGGAAGACCAAGCGTTAGCAGCTTTTGTTTTTCGTTTAATGCTGTTCTGGAAATAGAATCGGCCAAAGGTCCTAAACTGAACAAAACAGCATGCCACCAATGTAAGTCGAACTTTGAAACAACGTATGCCGTTTCATTTACCATTGTACTATTCGTATATTGGGCGTATTGTGAAAATGGGAACGGATAAGTATGAATTTTGATAAGTTGGTCATCGTATCTAAAGCTCTTGAACTCGGCATGAGGAGGTGTGAAGTATAGAATGATGTCTCTATCAAAACAAATCTTTTCGAACACGAAATAATCGTTTCCCGGGTCCAAACTAGCGCTATCATCAGTTGTTGGTGTTTGGATATCTGTAACTGTAATGTTTATGTTGTCGATGTCGTCGTTTAAGCATTGAAGATAAAGATTTAAATCTCCAGAAATTGGATAATCAATTGATAAGCTAATGATATTGTCCTTTTTGGAAAGATTTTTGATATTACCTTCTGTGTATAGTACTCTGCCGATCTCAGAATATGCATCTACCGAAAGAAAATGTGGTAAATAAGGTGTAGGATATTCAACTGAGTCATCTGCCTGGAAAAATAGAAATAGCTTGTTTCCTGTTTTATTGTAATTTAAGAATTTAACTGAATTGCAATCGATTGATTGAAAACTTTCGCCAAAGGGAGGAAGAACTGGCCCTTGATCAAAAAACCACATTATTACTGCACAAATAAGGCATCCCATAAGGATATGAAATCCATAACCTCTTATTTGAATCTTCCGTTTCTCATGATTCCCATCACTATGAACATCCATTATAAATGAAACATCATAGCAAACTATGCATTGTATATATCGAATAAGGGTGTTTCATTATAAGTATATCTCAAAATTATGTAATTTCGAAAAAATATTTTTCTCATCACTATAGTGGAAATCGGGAACATAAATGTCAACTCTATTCATGGAGAAATATGTAATATTTTTTACAAAATCTGATATTATATATTTTATAAATCATAATTCTTACAATAACATATAGCCTGGATTACATGGGTACTACCAAGATTATGTGGCGTCCCGGCAGGATGCAAAACAATAGCAAAAGCTAATTCAAATCTTGTCAAATCTGCTGTAAGATTTTTTTCAGAAGTTTACAATTTATATTTTTTATTGAGCATTTAGCTTATTTTAAGCTTCGCAAATAAATTTAGTTGGCGAATCTACAACTGTTCAGCAAAATACCCAATTCAAACTCATTCGGAATGGTATAACATACAGATCAAATATTCAACGAACAACCTTAGGTCGTTGGTATTATGAAATCACACATGTGTCAGGACCCAATGAATATTTGGCCGGATTTGAGTTTAACTCATCCAGCAATTTTTTTTTCGCGTTTTATCCAAGAAGTAAGATACCTGACTCAGCAGTATATTATGAAGGCTGCAATGCAGCAATCGAATCTTATGGATCCATCGGTTTAAAATCAGTAAGATCCGATTCCACAATTGGTATTTCGTTCAATGCCTTTACCAATTGGATATATTTTAGAACAGAAAGTGAAACAAAGGGATATCACATCAACATGCCCAATAAGCCAACACTCTTTCGAGCAATGATTTGGCACTCATCTTGCTGCGATCCAGACACAGTTTCTGTTAACTTTGGATCCGAGCCATTCCAATATCCTATCCCACTAGGATACACCACTCTTGACAAAGATCCATTTGTTTGCATCACAATAAATAATCCAAATTACTTTTATCGAACTTGTATAATTATGATATCTGTAGTTGCACTATTTCAATTTTAATACTTTAATATTTGACAGCAATAAAAAATTATAATTAAAATATTATTTAAAATCTTTCACGCAAATATAGATAAAGTAGTCTATAATTTATAAGCTCTATGTACACAGCGAATTGTTACTGTGCTGAACACCAATTTTAACTGAAAATTTCTAAATTTGAGATATATTCATGTTTTTATTTTAATTTTGTATTCTTAGATTATTATAACACATATAAATATCACTAATATTTTTATTTACAAACAAAAAATCTATATTTTCTGATAAATCAATATATAAGCATCTTCAGAGTGAGCTTTCGCTTGGTCTATTGGGTTAACCAAAGAGTCATTATAGTAAAACCATTTATCAGTTCCTTCCTCTCTCGAAGCGCACGTATAATGTCCGCTACTTGCGTTTCCTAAGTGGAAAATAACAGAAATCAATTTCAATTTTCCTCTGTCGTTCTTGCAGAAATCAGACAAATCAAGTTCATCAGGGTATTGAACATTTGTGACTATTTTACGTGGTTCTACACCATCGTATTCGAATCTCTTGAAATGGATGATCAAAAACTTCGAACAACGTTCAATTCCCATAGTTTTTGTCGCCCGAACTTTTTGTTTACAATTTTCGCAGTACCACTTATTATTTTCATCCAAATTGTCTTGTTGTATGAAGCTCTTCAAATAGTCAGTTAATGTTACTTGCGAAAAAAAGCAAATCTTAACAGGAACTGACAAAAAAGTGAATGGATCGTAAACCACGTTTTCTCTTCTACATTCTGGACAGTAAATTGTACTATAGAACATTCCAGAGAATAAAGATTCTATATACGATGGTTTTGTGCCTGGATATCGCTTCCTTACTGATTGTGTTCTTGGAGTAACTCCGTCTTCTAGGGCTGTACTGTATGCAAGGTCTTCGTGGAGGGCATCAAGGATGCTACATAACGCTTCTTATGCATCGTGTTGGTCGTAGTTCGAAAACGTTGTATATTTCGATGAAAAAGCTGATCTGAACTCTTTCGGGTTACGTGGATTAGTTCCGCTAATGCACATGGACTTAACAAGATCCTTAAAGGCTGATGCAATCTTGCCACCACTTCCTAGTGGGTTTTTCTTGTTCAAACTCGAATCAAATTTCGGATTTAAGACAAAAGTGTAAAGCTGTTTGATATGTATGATGCTTTGGAGAGCAGAATTAAGAAAACATGTATTGCCGAGGTTAATAAGCCCTACAGGCTTCGGATAGTTATCGGGTTCGTTTCTTTGAGGCGCTGAATCAAGTAATTCTTTAACACCTAGCTTTAAAGGAGTAAGTTTGGTTAGTTGCTCTGGAGAAGGGAGACTTGGAAGCGTATTTGACCATTGAGTAAGATCATGAGTCTTAAACTCTTCATTCTTTTGTTTTAGGAAAACAACATGGCCATATTTTTGAAAATATTGGTCTGTTGTCATGTTGTCGTCAATTGGTTCACCATTTGGATTACATAGGTCGTGATTTGCCGAATTAACTCGAATTGCTAAACATAACGGTCGTTTCATGATAGAAAGATGCCAGTCATGTGCAAGGTTTTTGGCTACTGTGCCATTATTTGTATTAAACTCAATTTGTATTGGTTTTACAAGAATAACTGACTGACCAGTAGCTGGATGAACTGTAAGTCGTTTGAATATTGGGTTCGTGCATTTAAAAACTCCTTTGATTGTTTCCCAAATCGCTTCCTCAAACACGTTAAAATCCTTTTTCCACTGCTTTTTGATATCAAATTCTCCATTTACTAGTAATGATGAGCAATCTATCTCAAGTGCTGGTATTGGCTCGTTGTTACGAACCCAATTAACAAATTTTGTGTACCAAGGAAGTGGTGTGAGCATCACCATTCGACTTCGGCTTTTACCGAGCAAACATTCGATTTCTGCTAGGCGAGAAGAAAGATTTTGCCGTAACTCTAAGGGGTCAGTAATCATAAAAAAAATTGAGTAAATTTGTAAACCTCTTCAGGGTTATTTTGCTATTCTTGACGAAAAAGATATGATCTATTACTAAATAAGAAAATATTTTTACTTTCATTTTTAATTCGTATCATTTGAATGCATGTTCAAATTTTTGCGGTCCATAGATCAGATAATAACAATAAGAGTCCATAAATTAGATTAAATCTACTAGAAATAGTTCGAAAGGACTGTATTTTTTATTTGAGAAGAAAAATTTGGGAATAAAGAAAATAAACGTACAAATTTTTCTTACACCATTGATGAAAACTGAACCCATGATTCGGTTCAATAGCTTTATTAAGATTATGTAGGATATGTCCGCCATGAAAGAGCATAATTCGAAAGTTCGGATTTTATCGAAATTAAATTTCGATTTGATGGAAAAGCATAGAGCATCCAAAAGTGTATTGTCAGGCATTTTTGGTTAGGGCACACCTTAAAAATCACTTTTTGAGATCGCATTAAAATAAAAATCAAGCCCGAATTTTGTTTACCTGGTGTTATCCACAGGTTCTCTAAGCACACTAACCTGATTTCTTTGAATTGTTCAGATAATCAGGAAAAATATCAATGAATGAAATTTGTATCATCAACTGTTGGTTAATGATTTAAGACACAATTCTATGTCTATCATTTGATCTTTTTTTTCTTAAGTTAAACATAAACTATCTGAGATAAAAATAATAAATTTCAATTAAAAACTACAAACATTTACAATACATTTCAAACAACATCATTGTCATTTTCAAATGATATATCATTAGTTACAAGGCAAGGAGATTTTAATATTCTCAAAATTCTTCCAATATTTGACTTCTTAATCTCCACACGATGTGTACACGCATGTGACCAAGAGTGGCCAAGTGAAGGGACATTTCCATGGAATGGAACAGTAGAAAGGTGATTTGTAATTAAAACTGCGATTCCTTTGGAAATTGCAATGGATTTTAGTACTTTAACGAGCTCCCATAACATTGAAGTTCTATCTCCTTGCATTTCAACGGCTTGTCCTCTTAATGGAGCTGCAATTGAGTCTATTACTATTAATCCTACGTTTCCTATGTCATTAACTAATTTAGGAATAGTTCTTGTAAGCGAAAATAGCATTGGATGGTCGAGAACTCTCAGAACATGAAGTTTGAGATCCTTTGGAACGCATAAGCCGCCTTCTGTATCAATCCAAAGTGTAGAGTGTGTATTCGATATAGAATCTGCGTATCGTAAGCATAATGATGTTCTTCCACTTCCCGGAATTCCGCAAATTTCAGTAACAACACCGCTGATTAAAGGAGAAAATAGTCTATCAATGGCATCATATCCGCATGTATATGTTAGTAAATCGTCTGAAGGAACTAAAAATTGTTTTGGTAGTTTAACAAAATTACCAAGAGATAATTTCTCAGTAATATATGATTTTTCTTCGTCAGATAATGTGTTATAGCTCCATATATTATGATCTGCAAGAATTTCTTTTTGTTGTTGTGTTAAATCAAAGTCTAAAACAACTCTTTCTTGCATGAAATAATTTTGACAAAGGAACTTCCCTCCTAGACATTTCTTTAAACACGGGAAGTTTTCATTATTGTCCATAATCCTTTTGATTTTGGTTATTATTGTTACATTAAGAAGGAAATTATTGTGCAACTTTCACACTTTTTATATCATTTATATGAAAATAATAATTAATGCATGTTTATAATGGAAATCTGATGAAATTATTTCATTTTATGGGTAATTTATTTTATATTTTGTTTGATAATTGGTATTTAATGAAAATTTTGATGTCAAATGATGTATATCTAAAAAATATGACCATCTTATTTTCAAAAATTTTCATAATTTTTGTTTTTTATCTTGAAAATCGGTATTTTTGATTTCATTTTTGGAATTTCAAAAAAATTTTGGAATTTAATTTATCAGAATTGAGTATCAACGACACGAGAATATTAAACTATGACAGATGTGAATTCATAATCAACAATAAAATCAGATGATGGTCAGGCAAATCAAATCAATGCATTTTAGCGGTTTTTGTAAAGTGGCCTTGTCTTTTCTTTTTCATGGGTGTTGACTTAGATCACAGAGTCTACCGCAAACAAAGACAGCAGCCAAAGACACAGGATGCTGAGATGAACATGCTCCACAACCTTTACGCATTCCTCGCTCGCCGCACAGGCAACGACTTCAATGCTAAGATTGCTCATCGCCTTTGCATTTCCCGCACAAACCGCCGCCCATACTCCCTCTCCCGCCTTGCTACAGCCCTCAAGGAGAAGGAAGCCGAGACAATCGCCGTTGTTGTTGGCAAGATCACAAACGACGAACGCCTCCTTGAAGTTCCAAAGATGAAGGTTTGCGCTCTCAAGTTCACAGAGACAGCTCGCGCTCGCCTCGTTGCTGCAGGTGGCGAATGCATCACATTCGACCAACTTGCTCAACTTCGCCCAACAGGTGACAAGTGCCTCCTTCTCGAAGGTGACCGCACACGCCGCCTTGTTAACAAGCACTTCGGCGCAGCTCCAGGTGATGACAACTCAAAGACACGTCCAAAGATCGCCTCCCATGGCCGTAAGTTCGAAATGGCCCGTGGCCGCAGGAAATCTCGCTGGTACCATGCCTAAGCATCTAACATCTTGTAACCTACTTTTTATCTAAAAAGTGCTTCTTCTAATAGATAAAAAGTTTTTTATGAAATTTGGCTTTGAATGCAGTCTTTTCCTTTTCATTATGTCTAGAAAATAATTTCTTTGTATGAAAATTCTTACATTTTTTTTTCGAAATTTGATTTCTTTTGAAGATTTACATTTTTTTTGTTAAAAATATATGAATTTGTATATAATTATATATATTTGAATATGAATTTTATCAAAAAAAATTTCTCGAAAATCATGATTTTGTCACTTTTTATTATGTTTTCCATTTTTGTATTTCATTGTCAAAGTACGGCTTGCAAAGATTCTTATCCATGGCAATATTCTTGCGTCGAAGGTGATGTATCCAATATTAGTTGGGCAACAAATTTTTGTTATGCAAATAATACTTGGATTCAAAATTGCACAGTATACGATACAGTTGAATGCACAGGTAATAGAACATTTAGTAGATACCAATGGTGTCCTAATAGAAAAGGCAAATCATATTCTTTAGCGGTCGTTTTATCATGTTTAGGAGGATTGTTTGGATTTGATAGATTTTACCTCGGATATACATCTTTGGGATTCATTAAATTCTTTACTTTCGGAATATTCTTCGTAGATTATATTTTAGATATAATTTTAATATTAACTCAATATTTACAACCAGCAGATGGCAATGGATATTCGGTCTCTGCTCCATTTCCAATTATTGGCCATGGAATCAAAAATAATTTAATTTGATCCTTTATTTTTTTGTCGAAATTACATAATTAATTCTTTTTTTGTTTGTTATTAATAAATCTTGTACGTTTTAATAATTTTTGGCTTCATCTCAAAAATTCTTCATCATATCTTGAAGATTTAGTATTACTTTATGGGAGATATCAATTTTATGACCATTAGCAGAGCTATATTTTGACTCCAAACTTAAGTTCAAAATTGTTCAACTTTACAAAAAAAAAATTCACTTTTTGTCAAATTTATGAAAAAATTTAGATTATCTGCCCAGGGATTGCAACAAACAGCTCTTTGTGCAAAAGAGCACAACTTCACATTTATTGCTGGAGAGCATGAATACCATTGTCATTCGTTTTTTGCCGATTTTATTTCTCCAAAAATTGCAGAAATGCATTTAACAGATCCTCTTGCCGACACATTTTATATTGACCTCAATGATGATAACTATGAATTTCAAAAAATCATTGATTTGATGCAAGGAAAGACAATTTCAAATGTTAGACCTTCTTACATCACTAAAGTCGCAAAGATACTTCGAAACCAAGAGCTATTTGATGCATTTTCAGTTAAACTCGATTATAATGCTGAAGAACCAGATTTTCAAGGAATAATTGCAATTATTGATGAAAAACACGATTTTGGACTTGATTATTCTACCGAAGTCAACTTCCTTGCTCAACATTTCCATGACATTCCTCATAAATTACTTTATGGATTACCACTTCCAGTTATGGAAAAAATTTTGACATCAAAGTTGCTTCTCATTGATTCAGAAGAAGAAATCTTTAACATAGTTTGCAACCTTATCAAATACAACGGCCCTGAGTACGCACATCTTTTTTCAAACGTAATTTTTGAAAATCTTGATTCCAAGACTATGAGTTCTTTTATTAAAGAATTTGATCCATCAAATATCGACGCATCGATCTGGAATGTCATCAAGAGCCGTTTAACGCTAGAAGTCCAATGTTCGATCGATTATTCGCGATACAAGAAACTTGTTACGAAAATACCACACAACCCAGAGAATCCTTTTGCCGGAGTCTTTGATTTCTTGTTTAAAGCAAAGAAAGGACTTTTACCGAAAAATCTTGTTTCAGTTTTTCTTTCCAACGAAACCCATATTGCAGATAAGTTCTTTGCAAGGGATTCTACATCTCCTTGGCATTTTACAGAAAAATACGATAATTATTTGCAATTAGATTTCAAGAGCTCCCTAATAGCAATGACTGGCTATGAAATAAAGATGGGAGGATCCGGAAGCTCAAGGTCTAGCGATAATTTTCATGATTGGGTCATAGAAGTCAGCGATGACCAAACAAATTGGGAAATTGTCGACAAAAAAGAGAGAAATACAGATTTAGCACCTGACTCATCTATGTACTTCGAATTAGAGAAGCAAACACCACCTTCTCGATTCATAAGATGGAGAATTACTAAAGATCCAGGAAAATCAAGCAACAATACTCTTAATATCAAACAATTTGAAATATACGGTGATTACATAGAGATAATGTATCCAAATGAAAAAATTGAGAACTCAAAATAATTTTTTTACCATTGAATAAACATTGTATGATATTTATATTGTCTTCACTCTATTTTCTTTATTTTCACTCATAATTTCATGATTTTTTGCCAAAATTTTATAATTGTTTTCAATTTTTCTTTGAAAATGAAACTGATTACTAGAAGAATGAAATCAGAAGGTTTAGCACTTTCAAATGTTCATAAAAATTTTTGAAAAGAAAAAAATTTGATGGAAAAAAATATATCCCTTTTCAAGAAGATAAGTTAATGGTAAGAAAAATGTAAAACTTATGATGAAACACTGCTATTTACTTCTAACTATATTATATTATTTTTAGGCGTTGACACGTGGGCGGATTTCGACCTGGTCAGCAAGAAGAATGCGGCCGCCTGTTGGTGTAGCAAGTGGTGTTTGGCAGTTCTTGCAGAAAACTGGGACGTTAGAGTGTGAGAAAGCAGTTGTGAGGCCTGTGCAGGATGGGCAACGAAGAGAGAGGAACTCAGAACGTGGATTTGGAACGAGTGTCATCTTCTTGTTTTTGTGGGCTTCCTCCTCAACAGATGGGTGGAGAATGTCGACATCGAGTGTGGTCATTTTTTTTTTTTGGGATTGACCAAAACCGTAAATTTAAGTGAAAGCCAGCGGTTTGGAAGACTTATTTTTGAAAACAAATTTTTTGTCCTTGCATATTTAAAATCACCAAACATGGCACAATTGATTTGACCCATTTTAAGGGCAAATCGGAAAATTTTTGTTCTTGATAATTTTAAAAATCTGGATTTAAAAGCTAGGAAATTGAAAAATGTTCAAGACAAAAATAAGGATTCTCATATAATGAATAAAAAAATGCAAATTGAACATCGATTTCAAGTTCCAAAACGCGTTCTCCTAACTATAAATAAAACGAATGACAAGTTTTTAAAATCATGACATATTTATTTCGTTAAGTAATATATATTTTAGAAATGAAATATAATAATAATCAACAAACATAAAAAAAGGTATTATTTCCTAACGGAAAGTCTTATGGAAAGGACATTGGGTAACTCCATTTATCATAACTGGCATTCCACATTTTGGACAAGGTAAAAACAGTACTTGGTTCGGATCTTCGCGTATGTGCCATATACAGTACTTCGTTCCATGCAATGCCAAACAAATACATCCTGGATGGGTGCAATATTGTATAGAATTCTGTAAAGGAGCCTTTGAAGTTTGAAATACTTTATTTCTCCAAAGTTTTGTTAAAGATACTAGATCTTGATAATGTTTAAACCCAACATAACTTGGTGCACTTGAAATTGCATTTAAATGGCAAAAATAAAATTGTCTTCTCTGATCAATAGGCTTTGAATTGTACAAAGAAACTTTGTTTGCTTCCATCAATTGAGGAATTGTTTGTTTTTGTGTTTCATATAATTCGATAAGTTGATCAATCTTTTGAATACGCAATTTTAGAATTTCATCAGTATGGAAGACAAATTTACTCTTTTTGGATGTTATTTCAAAAGGCAAATCATCTTGTTGCTGGCCAGGTCTTTTAGTTGATAAATATCTTGTCAGGATTAATGATGTTTCAAACGGAGGCGTATCATCCCTTCGAAAACGCTTTTTTAGACTAACATCTTCTCTTTTGATTCCATTAAGTAGTAAAATATTATCTAAATTCATTTTCGAAATCTTGTCACTTTTTATGCGTAGTTTTGATTAAAATTCAAATTATTTGCGAAATACAACATCTCAACATGTACCTCAGATTAGGAACAAAAAGTTCATTCAGCATCTGATTGTCCAAAAATATTATCAATGATTGTTCTTAAGAGTCTTTGGAGTCTTTGTCCCTCATCAATGGTACAGTACCTCAACATGTACCTCAGATGAGGAACAAAATCGAAAATCACATCATTCCTAAAAGACTTTCTTAAGAGTTTTTGAAGTCTCAACACATCATCTAATTGTTTTATTTTCATCTGACAGTATTTGCATTTCATCTTATTGCATTTTAAAGAATTACAGTATACGGAAAAAGTGGGTCTTAAAATCATTTTGGGTCTTATTTTTAACCGCAAAATTCCCACAATTTTGAATACTTTGGCAAAAAAACTTGCAAAAACATAGCGTCTATATACTATGTATATTAAGATTTTGCAAAGTGTCAAAAAATAAAAATTTTTTAAAAAAATTTTAGGGAGTTCGAAAAAAGTAATGATTGTAAGAGATGGGAAGTATTTACGCTTGAAGTCGGAGCGGATATGAAAAGAATTTGTAAAGGCGCATATCTTGGTATGCAAAATTGAGATACTGTGTTGAAATCTACAAAATTCAAAATCTGACACAAGTCTCTCTGACCATATTAGACTCGTATTCTTTCTCTGTTGTATGAGATTTAATGAAAATGCTCGTTAATAGATACACATCTATTTAAAAATGATATCCGTTATTAAATCATATGCTCTGTGGACGCAGAAACTTGTGTTTTCGACTTTGTAAGTTGGTAATGAGCGATGCGAATGGGTCAGTTTGGTTAGTAAAGTCATCTAAGAAAAAATCGTTAATTGAACAATATGTAATAATTTTTGAAAATGAAGTAAACAGTATATTGAAATGTGCAGTATTAAGCTACTCTTTGACCTTGTAAGTTTTGATCAATTATGTAGCTGAAGGTATATTCGCAGGTAAGCAAGTTTGGAGAAAAATCTTATAGCTAAAAATAAAAATTGTATGAAATAATTATGTGGTTCATTTGCTAACGTGCTTTATTTTTGGGGTCGGAAAACCCAGGTTCGAATCCGAATACATCTTATTTTTTCTTTTTCATTATATCAATAAATTGTATTATACCCAAGAATTATTTTAATAAGAATCAATTTGGAATTTGAACCATGAATAATATATTTCGTATTTAAATACTCATATTTTTGTAAAATAATCTTTTCGGTTATATTACAATCAAATTACAAAACAGTTATAAGATTTTTTAATCCTAAATTCAAAATATATGAACTTTGATCTTTAAATTTTAAACAATTTTGAGAAAGAAATATTGTTAATCGCTTAATATTCTTATGTATATAAGTTGATTATGCAGCTGTGTGTCAAAATCCAATTTTTAATACCAATCTCATTTATTCTTCAAATTATTTTTATTATTATAATCATGAGATCTGGTATTATATGAATAACATCACATTTCAACATAAACGTGAATAAATTTCAAAATTGCAAAACAATCACCTCAATTTCTCTATTTATTCATATTAACTTATTTTCGATATACCCATTTAATTAGTTTCATGTATGTTAGCATGTGACAATAGATATTTGAAGCTTAAATGATGGATTGCCGAAGAAATTAACAAAAAATTCTTATATTTTTGATTTATGATCATACAAACATAATGACTTACAACAAATATCATTATAATACATAATTACCATAGTTGGATCTCAAATTAAAAATAATATTATATTTGGATATTATTTTCAATAATTTTCAATTTTGCTTTATATGAGATTCAAACAGACCATTAGATACATGTTATAGCCAATCAATATTTTCATAAGAATAAAAATTTTTTAGAATATTGTTTTATGTTTTTTATAATTGACAGTCTATTTGTATCTACCTATCTTAAAATACATTTTATGTTTGTAATCGCTCTTCCACCTATAACAATTTAGAACAATTCTGAATATTTAAATGTTTTGATATGGATAATTCAGTTATACCAAGATTGACTAAGTCTCTTGGTATGAATAGTGAACTTGAGAACATTCACTTGATTCATATTAATAAATTTGTGTCAAATTCAAATAATTGTTCTTAGTAATCTTAATTTATTCAATATATATGACTAAAAACAGTTTACTTGTTTCTTACTAATAGCAATCTTCTATTTATTTTTCAAGTATAAAAAAAAGAAAAAAAGAAATGCGTGGCACTTAATTCGAACTCGGAACCCCAAAAATAAAGCCAATCCGGCGGTTTTAACCGTTAGACTACACCTCAATTTCATACAAAGTTTATTTCACAGATATTTATGCGGCCCACTCTGTCAAAAAAATAAGACCAAAAGTGAGCTTAAGACCCAAATTTTCCGTATACTGTTACATTTTCATATAAACAAGTATATATATATCACAGCTCAATTGTTAACTACTCATTATATATGATTGTTTCATATAATTATTATATGATTTCTCTGAATTTTGAGTTTTGTGAATCTTTGATGATTCATTCAACCTTAGATCGATCAACCATAACTTATGCCATATCGGCATAAAAGATATTTTCAATCATTAAATATATGAATTGGAGAAATTTATCCGAATCTCAAAAAATATATCTTCAATATCTATCTGTGACATGAACAAGCTCAAATAATCTACCACATCAATTAATTAAAATTTTTCATGAGTTTTATTCGGCCCTACAATCACTCTGTGCTATGACAAAGCTATTTCCATTTTTTTTAGTTTGATCGAACAAAACTTCGAATTTCGACCTGAAACTAGAGCCAAAAATTCGAAAAAATTATTAAACGAAGTTTATCGTCTCCGACCATAAAGTTAGATTTAATGCGAAATTGCATAAGAAAGATTTTGAACAAAATTCATCATTCTGGCGGAAAGAGTTTGGAATATGAAAATCTGGATTATATATGATGTGATCATGCTAAAATATTTGATATATGAGAGATTTGTAAAAATCATAAAATTTGAAAATCAAAAAATGTGTAAATGGTTGTTTTGCATGTGTCAGTTATGCTATGTATAGTTTGGTAATATAAAATATACGTGATATATACTTGATAAAGCATAAGAGCCTAAATCACAAACTGATGGTTGACTTTGATCTTCATCTGATAGACTGCTTGTGAGAGTTTTTGAAGATTTTATTCTTCAATCAGAAGTTGATTAAAGTATTTGTTCCTCATCTGGGGTACAATACCACAACAAATACATCAGATGGGGAACATTTGAAACAATCTTAATCTGAGCATCCTCATACAAATAAACTCTGTTCATCAAACATAATTCAATGATAATTTGACACTTTCCCATATGTGTTATATGTCAAAAACATAAAATTTTGTGAATTTTTTTATATTTCATGACTCATATAGGATAACATATAGATATCACAGTATAATCTTGTTATTCATCACATGCATAATTGAGTCATACCATTTATACATGTTTAAACTATAGCTTGAGATAAATTTTATGAGATTCTTGACAAATATCAATGACCGACCAGATTTTTTGCCACAGATATCTTCATGATAACTTCAATCATTTTATGTGCAAGTCACATAATTTAGACGGATTCGCCAAAATGTTATCTTCAATCAGAATCCATATCCTGCACAAGCGCATAAAATGCACATCAAGGACGAGTTATAATTTTTGATGTGTTTTATTCAGTCCTAAACTCATTATTTAAAAAAATTCAACGTAAACTATTCAAAATTTGATGATGTAGCAAGAACGATAGCTTTTTTTTTTGGATTCGGGTCGAATATGTTAAGTTCTGAGCAATCAAATAATGAAACTGAATTCGATTTTAGTGACATCAAGCCAACTGAAGCATTTGAATACCCTAATCAAGCATCAAAAAAGATTTGGAGTATCAATTCCAATAATATTCTACATATATCTTCACAAATTATAGAACTCATTACAAATAACAAAATATCTATCCAAATGTCACTTCATCTGATTGATATTATTTCACAACTTCGTGATAAAGATATTAAATTATTAGCAGAACTTTACGAAAAGATATTAAACGAATTCTCATGCATCATCAAACCGGAAAATGTGAAATTAACGACACTTCTACATTACAAAGGTTTCAAATTTGAACACTTCAGTCCTATAAAGAAAGAAGAAGATATTCTCAATATATATCCAACAGAATCTCCTTTATACTATATTGCATGGGATAAAGTTGATGACCTTAAGAGCAAATTCCCAAATCTTGATATTAATAAGAAAATAAATTATGAAATCACACCACTTAATTGTGCAATTAAATATGGATCAGAATTATGTTTCAATTATTTGAAAAATTTAGGTGCTCAATTTACTGAATACTCCGAAAAATATGCTGTTCAAGGCGGAAATAAAATCATTTTTATGCAAATGATAGAGGAAGGTAAATCATTTGATAAAATGATAAATACAGCATTGAAATATCGAAACAATGAAATTGCTAACTACCTTAAATTAAATTTTGGTCAAAGTCCTGATTCAATAGCAGAAAGTATGTATTTCGGAAATTATGATATTGCCTCTTATTTACTTTCTAATGGAGAAAATGTCAACAAAACTTATAATCTCTTTCTTTTCATATTAATCATCATTTAATGGCATTCTATTTCTTTTCATATTTCTCATTGTTGAATCAAGTTCTCTCGATATTAATGAATGTCCTCTCAATATTGCAATCAAAGCTAATTTAATAGAAATTGTGAAATTCTTAGTTGAGCATGGTGCTGATGTTAACAAACGAATTATTCTCTTCCATTTCATATTTATCATTATTTTATGAGATTTTCTTTTTCTTCATATTTATCATTATTTTATGGCATTCTCATTCATTTCACATTTCTCATTGTTGAATCAAGTTCTCTCTATGTTAATGAATGCCCTCTTAGTATTGCAATCAAAGCGAATTTAATAGAATTTGCGAAATCTTTAGTTGAGCATGGTGCTGATGTTAACATAAAACTTATTCTCATTCTTTTCATTTTTATTAATGTTTTATAACATTCTCTTTCTTTTCATATTTATCATTAGTTTATTACATTATCTTTCTTTTAATGTTTTTAATTGCTTTATAAAATCCATTATGTCGGTATTTATCATTGTTTTATTACATTATCTTTTTCTTCATATTTGTCATTATTTTATGGCATTCCCTTTCTTTTCATATCTATCATTGTTTTATTACATTCTCATTCATTTCACATTTCTCATTGTTGAATCAAGTTCTCTCTATGTTAATGAATGCCCTCTTAGTATTGCAATCAAAGCGAATTCAATTGAAATTATGAAATTTTTAGTTGAGCATGGTGCTGATGTTAACATAAAACTTATTCTCATTCTTTTCATTTTTATCAATGTTTTATAACATTCTCTTTCTTTTCATATTTATCATTAGTTTATTACATTATCTTTCTTTTCATATTTAGCAGTGTTTTATAGAATTTTCTTTCTTTTCATATTTAACATTATTTCATGACATTTCTTTCTTTTCATATTTATCATTGTTTTACGAAGTAATATTTCTTTTTATATTTCTCATTGCTTAATGTAATTCTTTCTATATTAATGAATGCCCTCTTAGTATTGCAATCAAAGCGAATTTAATAGAATTTGCGAAATCTTTAGTTGAGCATGGTGCTGATGTTAACATAAAACTTATTCTCATTCTTTTCATTTTTATTAATGTTTTATAACATTCTCTTTCTTTTCATATTTATCATTAGTTTATTACATTATCTTTCTTTTAATGTTTTTAATTGCTTTATAAAATCCATTATGTCGGTATTTATCATTGTTTTATTACATTATCTTTTTCTTCATATTTGTCATTATTTTATGGCATTCCCTTTCTTTTCATATCTATCATTGTTTTATTATTCTCATTCATTTCACATTTCTCATTGTTGAATCAAGTTCTCTCTATGTTAATGAATGCCCTCTTAGTATTGCAATCAAAGCGAATTCAATTGAAATTATGAAATTTTTAGTTGAGCATGGTGCTGATGTTAACATAAAACTTATTCTCATTCTTTTCATTTTTATCAATGTTTTATAACATTCTCTTTCTTTTCATATTTATCATTAGTTTATTACATTATCTTTCTTTTCATATTTAGCAGTGTTTTATAGAATTTTCTTTCTTTTCATATTTAACATTATTTCATGACATTTCTTTCTTTTCATATTTATCATTGTTTTACGAAGTAATATTTCTTTTTATATTTCTCATTGCTTAATGTAATTCTTTCTATATTAATGAATGCCCTCTTAGTATTGCAATCAAAGCGAATTTAATAGAATTTGCGAAATCTTTAGTTGAGCATGGTGCTGATGTTAACATAAAACTTATTCTCATTCTTTTCATATTTCTCATTATTTTATGGCATTATCGTTCTTTTCATATTTAGCAGTGTTTTATAACATTCTCTTTCTTTTCATATCTATCATTATTTTATTTGATTCTCATTCTTTTCATATTTATCATTATTTTATGGCATTCTCTTTCTTTTCATATTTCTCATTATTTTATGGCATTATCGTTCTTTTCATATTTAGCAGTGTTTTATAACATTCTCTTTCTTTTCATATTTATCATTATTTTATTTGATTCTCATTCTTTTCATATTTATCATTATTTTATGGCATTCCCTTTCTTCTCATATTTATCATTGTTTTATTACATTCTCATTCATTTCAGATTGCTCATTGTATAATGAAGTTCTCTTTATGTTAATGAATGTCCTCTTAGTATTGCAATCAAAGCGAATTCAATTGAAATTATGAAATTTTTAGTTGAGCATGGTGCTGATGTTAACATAAAACTTATTCTCATTCTTTTCATTTTTATCAATGTTTTATAACATTCTCTTTCTTTTCATATTTATCATTAGTTTATTACATTATCTTTCTTTTCGTATTTATCATTGTTTTATTACATTATCTTTTTCTTCATATTTATCATTATTTTATAGCATTATCGTTCTTTTCATATTTAGCAGTGTTTTATAAAATTTTCTTTCTTTTCATATCTATCATTATTTTATTTGATTCTCATTCTTTTCATATTTATCATTATTTTATGGCATTATCGTTCTTTTCATATTTAGCAGTGTTTTATAACATTCTCTTTCTTTTCATATTTATCATTATTTTATTTGATTCTCATTCTTTTCATATTTATCATTATTTTATGGCATTCCCTTTCTTCTCATATTTATCATTGTTTTATTACATTCTCATTCATTTCAGATTGCTCATTGTATAATGAAGTTCTCTTTATGTTAATGAATGTCCTCTTAGTATTGCAATCAAAGCGAATTCAATTGAAATTGTGAAATCTTTAGTTGAGCATGGTGCTGATGTTAACATAAAACTTATTCTCATTCTTTTTCATTTTTATCAATGTTTTATAACATTCTCTTTCTTTTTATATTTATCATTGTTTTATTACATTCTCATTCATTTCACATTTTTCAGTAGTATATGTTGATGGGTTTTGTGACTTTTTTTGTAAACGTAAGAATTCATACATTTTTGAGCGATTTTGTATCATTTTTTTTTACATATGAAGTAAAAAATGTATGATTTTTACGGTTTTTATTCTTACGTTTTTGAATAAATCAAGATTTAAAAATTTTCAGAATCGTAAGAAATTTTCACTAAACCCATACATAATGAAATAAAAAAAATAAAAAAAATAAAAAAATAAACTTTAAAAATTCATGTCTTACATTTTTTGAATAATTTATTTTTTTAATTCGTATGAAAATGAGTGGATCAAGATTCGTAACCGTCAATCAATTAATGGATGTTCTTTCACCAATTCTTGAAAATGTTAAACAAGTAGATGTTTATTTCGATGATTATGTAGAAAGTATATATTATAAAGGTAAGTTTAATATTAAACCTATTGCTTTTGCATTTGATAATAAATTAATTGAAAATGCAAAAATTTGGGAATTAATTCCAGATATTGAATTTATAACAAATATTAATGATAAATGGTTTAAACGAATTCCAACCACAAAAGTTCTTTGTAAATTAATGATCAAAACTGAGGAAAAAGAATTTAACGGGTTTAAATATCATCCAAATAAAGTTTCAGAACTAGAAAATGAAAAACTTCAGAAAAAATTAAACGATAGACTTTCAAATGATCGTATTGAAAAAATAAATAAACTAGCAGAAGTTGCATTTAATAATGAAATATTTGATGAATATAACCTTGAACTCAGTGATGGACTTTAAGTCCTGGGCACTTTGTGCCTTGAGCTTTAAGGACCTGGGCTCAACGAGTCATGATTTATGAAATCAATAATTTGATTTATTCGCTCTTCAATAATTTCTATTCTTTTTGTTAAATCATCAATTTTCATTAATGAGGTGATTCTTGATTGAGGAATAGATTTTAAACTAACAACACCTTTTATTTTTGAAATTTTGAATCCATGACCCTCCGGGTCTTGGACTCTGTCCTCAACTTTAAACATTTTATTCAATTTACATGTTGTCAATTCTTCAAATAATTTTTTATTATTAGCATAATAGTCATTAAATTCATCAACAGATGAAAAAATTTTTATTTCAGTAATTGGTTTAACAACGTTTATTTTTTGTTGAACATTTTCACTTTCATTTATTTCTTCCTCCTTGTTTCATTTATTTTTAAAATCGGTTTCATTTATCATTAAATAAAAAATTAGAATATAAGTGATGAAATATATTTTTTAATTAATATTAAATCAGAGATGGCGGCAGGATTCTTTAAAAAATTATGGGAAGGAATTAAGAAAGCTGCAAGTTGGGTTCATCAAAAGATTATTAAACCCGTTGCAAACTTTTTGGCACCAGTAGCGAAAACGGCAGGAACTATCATAGGAGGAGTATTAGGTGCTAAAGCAGGTAATCCGGCGATGGGAGCACAAGCAGGTAACGCAGTTGGTGGAATTGCTGAAGGAATACTTAATAAAATAGGGGGTAGATAGTGGAAAAATAAATAAATATTATTTTTATCTTAGTATCGGTTGTAGTCGACGATAAACCTTATCTCCTTTATTTAATACTTCCCTTACCGGAACATTAGGTGCTATTTGTTCAGCAACGTCACTAATTGCTTCTTTATTCTTAAATATCCAATTTGCTCCTTTCTTAATCCCTTCCCAAACTTTATGCGCTCCTCTTTTTACTTTATCCCACAGTTTCTTAAAGAATCCTGCAGCCATAGTTGATTATTTCATTAAAATTAAAAATTCATTTTCATCTTTTAATTTTGATTTTTTATTTAATAATAAATGACGACTAACTATTTAGTGCCAAACACTAAACCGATTAATGGAAATGTATTTCATTCATTCGAAAAGATAAATGAAATATTCGCAAAGAATGATGGAAGAAGATATTATAGAGAACTTGAAAGTTCATGCTATGACTCTGATGCTCCATATTTTGATGATAAACAAACTCATTTAAGAATTACAAATCCGGCTCATGATGTGAACCAATTAGGTGACACATATATTAAACGCAAAGTTAAAGTAACTCTAGTTTCAAATAAAGCTTTCACATGTGATGCCGCTTTTAAATGCATGCGTTTATTCGTT